CTACACAGGAAATATTTAGAGTCTCTAACGCCTATCTGTAAATATTTTCATCTTCCATGAAGACTGCTTTCTTCTTCCACATTATGCCCTAGATAATGGAGAGTGGAAGAACAATGACAACTAGTAGGGAAGGGAAAGAAGTATTGACACATGGAGCATCAAAATATTCTTTTCTACACATAGATTGGGTAGCAACGGAAAACTTCCTATGCTAAGAAGTTACATACTCACTAATGATGCAAGATTCATATAATCTTTTTAAATGCATGATAAAGAAGTTAGATTTGGTTTCACAGACAGCTTAAGTTGATTTAGCCATGGCTGTTTGTATTTCAAGACCATGTTTGTCATTGAGTCTCTTTACTTTGCACTTTTAACTCCAAGCCAACTAACTCTTAAGTTGACTTTAATCAGTGTAGACTATCAGCTTCTTCACTGAAATGCTGACAGTTTCTAAATGTCTGTTGAGTTCTTTAAAAGGGAGGCAGTCACCCAGCATCCATAAAATGGTAATTGCCTCTCAAATAGCCTTGGTGCTTATGATTACCCTTGAGATGGTCCACACCCATTCCTCCAGCCTTACTCTCTGTGCCAAGGGTGGGGACAGTAAGTAAAGACAGCTTTGCAGAGTGGTTCCAAACACGGGCTTTGGGATCAGACTGAATAACTGATTTTAGGGGTTGACTATCCTCCTTACAAACTGTATAATCCTGGGTGAGTTACTTCACTTTTCCAAACCTAACATTATGATCCATGGAAATCCCACTGCACTTGGCCAGGAACATGGTAAACCTTGAATAAACTGAAACTAGTATTGTCATCCTGATAACACATCTTAGAAGTTATTCTCAAGAAGTTCACAGACTTACAAGCTGGACAGAGACTTAGAGGTCATTTAACTGAAGCCCCTCCCTTTGAATATCACAAGGACCAGGGGGGTAAATTTATATAAAATAGAGCTAAAATTGGGGCACAGGACTCTTTTATGGTCAGCCATGAAACTCTCAGATCTCATGGGAGAGGACCCATGATAGATACTTGGCTTAATTTGATTAATGTTGGAGAGTAAGGACCAGTGACAACCCAGAGAAGATTGGCTCTGTGAATTGAGGCCGTGAGGAGGCCTGTGTTGGTTCCCAAAGTGTGTGTGTTCAGGAGGAAGAAGGACAAGCAGGTGCTGCCAGTGGACAAGCAGGCCCATGTCACTTGGTCTCATTAGAGAATCACCAAACAGATCACTGATGGGATTAGATTTCCCCACCACCTGTCATGTCAAATTCTTTCATCGGGAGGGAGTGGACCCAATATGCAGAGTGTGTTGATGTTACCTTGGTTGCAACTCAATTCCCGCCAACAGTGGAGTTGTAAGAAGCAGCCTGGAGAGACCAGAACCGGAGTTGGCAAACTATAGCCCACAGGCCAAATCCAGTCCACTACCTGATTTTGTAAATAAAGTTTCATTGGGACATGGCCACATTCATTTATTTACGTAATGCCTATGACTGCTTTTGTGGTATAACAGCAGAGCTGACTAGTGGGAACAGACCAAACAACTTGAAAAGCCTAAAATATTTATTATCTGATCCTTTATAGAAAAGGTTTACCAACCTCTGGCATAGAACTTTATCAGCTACTTAAAGGACAAAGGCCTTCTCCAGGCTACGAAAAAATTGACTGATTCTTTCAGGATGTTTTTATGCCCCTAGCAGAGATTTAACTAATACAACTAAAGAGAAGTGTAGGATTAGAACGCCTTTACAATTCAAAAGCCATCTCTTCTTCAGTGTGGATGTGAAAGACTAGTGTCTACCTCCTCTAAGAATGGTTCTAGTTCTGGTCTCCCTCTTATTCTGGTGCATAGAGGAGATAGAACCAGTTGAAGAGAAAGCCAAGGCCATTCCATGCATAACTTGGATAGTTAGAAGGCCCATCTCTTAAGGAATTTCTTTGTATACTATAAACCAGGCACTTACAATAGATTATTTTGTCTATTCATTATAACAACCCTATTAAATAGTATGATTGTCCCCATTTTACAGAAAGGTAGACTAAAGGTGAACTAGCATTGCAGAGATTTGTAACTGCTTGACGCCATGTTGTCTAACACACATAGATGCCAGTAATTCAACTCTTGAAATGCCTGATTGTTAGAATTATGCTCAAAAGCAACTTAAAATCACCCAAGCCAGACAAACTAGAAATCTAAGTCATTGTTTCTAGAAGTTCACAATGCAAAACACTATCTTGTAAAATAGCCACTGAAAAGGTCCAATATGTTTAGAAAACATTGCATATGTCTCTGCCTTCTTGGAAATAACATGATGCCATTAGGAAGTTGTGGACTCTGAGAAAAATTTTCAAACATTACACCATATTAACCTGTAATCTAATTAACAACGTCCCATAAAACTAGTATTCCAAAAAATATACTTTGGGAGCTTTTGAAGTAGATGATGATGGTGGTGAATGATGATAATAGCTAATATTTATTAAGTAATTACAGTGAGCCAGGCACTGACCTGAGTATTGACATGTATTAAATTCATTTAGCGTTCATAGTAATCCTATGAGATAAAGACTGTTACTAATTCCTCTCTTGATAGATGAGGAAACTGAGGCACAAAGAGGCTAAATAACTTTCCCAAAGTCACGCAGCTAATAAGTACTGGAGACATTGAGTGCCTCAAACACAGGAATCTGGCATTAATTTATCTTTGTGTATACCCTGCACTTAGCACAGTGCCTGGCACATATTATGTACTCAGGAAATGACAAATGAACTGAATTGGAGATAAAATCCTTGTAAAAAATAAGTGACTAGAGAGTATGAGTAGAACATTTCAGAGCTTTCAAGAATATTTACACAATGAGGAGAGTTCCTTATTAATTGGAGCTTCTATTTGTTCCAGACAAGACTAACCTAGATAATGTCCCTACTGTAAATCATTTTGTATGGTGTAACCATGTTCGTATTTTATTTAATGTTCCCCAATTAAGTGTAATACAAAGATACTAGGAAAATATCAGATAGTACTGATCCTATTTAGCCACAAGAAATAATATTTCATTTGAAGGTGCATTACATTGGGCCTTTCCTGTGGCATAAAATACATTGAAAGAGGCAATACCACATCTATAAGGAACCGCTGTATTGCCTTTGTTGGCAGAATGGATGGATTTTTTTGTAATGCGGTATAGTAACAGCTACTGAAAATAGTCAATTGCAGCTTTAAAATGTTACAAATCTAAAAATATATCAAGGTCAAAATTAGTAAATAGAATACTAGTGAATTTTCAGTGTAGCTTTGTGGGAGGCCAGGGACCAATAAGGAAGAAAAACCAACACACTTTCAGTTTTAAAAGGAAGAGGAAAAAGGGCAGCCCAAAAGAAGACTGTTTTTGTGTCCTGCAAAATAAAAAGGAATTTTTATGTTTAGCACTTCCAGAGGTTCAAATGCAGTGATTAAATGATATTACTTCTCACAACTTTAACACAGAGCATTCCTGAATGATAACAATTCTAATAATGGTTGACACTCAATATGTGCTTACTATGCTGTTTTAAGCATTTTATACATGTAGCCCTGGGAAGTGAATACTATTCTTTTATCTCCGTTTTACAGATGTGGAAATGGAGGCACAGAGAGGTCAAGTAGGGAGAGTAATTTTCCCAGGATCCTACACCAGTACAGGGTGGGTTAAGGACCCCTGTAACATGGTTTCAGACCCCATGCTACTAACTGCTTGTACGCTGGGTAAAAGAGAAGATTCAAAGGCTCAAGGATGCCCACAGGTCTGGGACACAAAATATAATTCCACTACCACTGTCAGGGAAGTCAGAGACTCACTAGGTAGACACCAGAAGGCTGGATGTGACAATGCAGAGTGGAATCCTTGCCAAATGCATAGGCCCTTCCTCAATGATTTGTTTAATGACACATTTCCAGAGGTCACTCTATATCTTGCCACTTAAGAACCCCTTCAATTTAAGAATTTGTGTTAGTCATGACAGGTAAATATCTGTCCCTCCACCCACCTCCACCAGCGGTGTGTGCTAGGATTTCTAAACCCCTTGATGACGTGTTTACAACCTGTCCACAAGCACACCCCTCCACAATACAGTCAACCATTTATGACTGAGTTTCTGTTGTGATGGTGCATCAGACCTAAAATATTCAGGAACTGTCACATGACCTGCTGTATTCAGAAAAGTCCAAGAAAAAAATTTCTTTGGAGAAAGCACAGATGGGCTCCATGTTGATGGAAAGATGGAATTTTACAATAAAGCATTGTGCCCAGAGTTTCAGGGTGGAAGCCATTTGAGAGTCAAATACAGAGCCCTTAAGAGAAATAACAAATTAAGTATTGAGTAAAAACAAATACTGAAAGTTATTTTCATAATTGTATTTTTGTTTCCAAATGCCTGCTTCCTCCTTCCCTTTTTGTGGGTGACAGTTAAGTCAGTTTAAACAACCAAGGAATTTGTTTGCTGAGGGAGCATGAGGAGAAGTAATAACATATGAATTTTAAAAGATAAATACCCAAGCCCTGGGAGGAATACATAGCTACAAAAGGATATTATTTCAAGAAAGATGTATTTCAAACAGATGAGTCAACAAACTGTGACTCATCTGTTTGTGCACATATCAATTGGAAATTAAAAATAAAATCAAATATATCCTCAATGAACACATCAAAAACATATCAAAAAACATACATACTACATTTTTGTAGAAGATAATTTAATTCTCATTTCTAGACTTTGCTTGTCTTATAATCCAGAACAATTAAACAAAAATAGCTTGCTTCTCCTGTCTCAGTTGAACCTAACCAGTTTTATATCCTTTATCAATTGTGCCTTACAAATCTTATGAAGAACTTTCTTTCCTCCTTGAAGTTCATCATCAGCTAGGGGTGAACAATCACCAGAAATATGACTTATTAAGCAATCAGGCATGAAGTTGCAAAACTGATGTTAAAGTACAGATATACCTACTTACCTGGATGGCTCTAACATTGGAAACTGGCTGTTTCGACATATTCATGCAGTCTTATCCCTAAAAAAAACAAGTAAGAAACTGTTAGAGGTAGCAGCGTTCAGATTTTCAGTCTTGATAAATTAGAATTTAACTCATGATTCAACTGGGCAGTCACCCCTTTCACTAGCCATGTATTCTTTCAGTCTCAGTTTTCAAAGTTACTAAGAGACTCTCCTTCCTAATGCCTTGGGTGAGGGAACACTAGAGCGCCAGGATAAATCATTCAGGAGGAGTAATGGTGAGATGCCTTGCCCCTGATGCTAATGATATACAATCAGAAACTTGAAAGCTGCTATCATCTCCTTCCCTGCCCTCCTGACCTTCTGCCAAGAGCAGCAAAGCAAAGAGGTTGTGGGAATAAAACACCTTTGTTCGGGGCCTCTGAAGTTCTTGGCTTGAAACTGAACTTTTGATCTGAATTGATCATTGCCAGGGATGCTAGAGTCCATTGGGAGTGCCTCTTCTTTGTTGAACAACCAAAAAGAAATGGCCTGTACCACTTCCTTAACTGCTGTGATGCTCTCTACTTGCTGTGCATGTGTCTGTTCTGCCCAGCGACCTGGGAGATGCACCTCAGGATGCAGGTGCCATCTCCTGTTCTGTGTGCCCTTAAGCTAGGCTTTGGACAAGGTGCCTCATACAGAGCCCAGGCTCTGTAAACGCAGGCAGACAGCAAGCCTTGCCTGTATACTTTTCTTTCAAAGAGGCAAGGAACACTTACACGTGACCATGTCAAATCCTCAAGATGTAGAAGTGCTTCCTTCCCAAAGGACTTTTGCTTTCTTTAAGCATGTGAGACCTGACTTAGAGCACAGTGACTAGAGCACATTCGGGGATGCAGGATGCAATTTACCAAGGAAAGGGGAGAAGGGAATGGCCCAGCTCTGGCCTATTTTTGAGGCCTGGTCTATTAAATGTCAGCAGGACCCACTGAAAAATTAAAAATTCATTGAATTCAAAACATGCTGTGTTTTAAACCCAAACTATAAAACAGGCTGATTGAAGTCTCTCTATTGACTGGTATAAGTGATGTGTTCACTGGTGAGTAAAAGAATGCAGACAGCAGTGTTGGCGTTTGCCACACGCCTTGTGTAACCTGGGCAATGTCACTCAATGTTTCTAAGCCCATTTCCTCTTCTTTAAATTTTACCTGCTTCACAGGTTATGGTAAGAATCCATATGAGATACATGCTCCTGAAAAGGCCTTATGAATTGTAAAGCGTGATGCAAATATTTATTGTTTATTACCATCGTCCATAGCTAATGACCTTGGAGTGCTGTACTCATCTGCAGCTTTAAGTACAGAGTAATAATTTATATAGGTATGTTCCCCAACACCTGTCGAGATAAAAGATCTGAAAAGAACTCTGCGAAAAAAAAAGGTTTTTGAAATCTCCAAAGTCTTAGGCTCTATTATGTGAAGTTAAAACAATTGCATATTTTTTAAAAACCTGTATACTCAGTGTATCCAAATATATAGGTTTTGGAGCCACATACATGAAAACAATAGGACTCTTTTTTAAAAAGTTTCACCTGAATGTCTTTGTAATATATAGATTTAGCCTCCATGCATAAGAGTCTAAGTAGAATTATTTTTAATATGGTTACAAAATGAAAAAACAACAACAAATAGAACAGTCAAGGATACATTTTTCTCTATGGTATGTTTCAGATAGATTGCTGTCTTTCCTGCAGTGTCATAAAGAAATGAAAGATTTTTAATTTGTGGATCTAGGACACACAGCTTAATTCCAAAAATAAAAGCTTGGTGGCTTAATTTTTAATGTTTTTATTCCTCAAAAGCTGATACAAGTCATGCAAAGCAATAATTTTCATAGAACTTTAAATATCTCAGCATATTGTATTCTCTGTGTGTGTACAACTAACGTTTAATATCACTTGAGAACTTGTAAAAAAGTTATCGTACATCAATTTGAAACAGTGATTAGAAAATTTATTTATGTTATGACAATAGCAGGTTGAAATGATTTTTTAAAATTGGTCAATGAATGATTATACTGTACTTTTTTAAAACCAATTTTATTTTTTCAATGGACTGATTAACTTACTACTGGGTTGAGGTCTTTGTGTGAACCTCTGAGCCTCAGGGATAGATAGACCTTGTCTCCTATACAGTTTTGGTATATTCTAATTTGCATACAAATTTCTTCTTAACATACATGTCAATCTTTGAAAGAGTCATCTACAGAAAGCTGGTCAGATCTCAACTCTCATTCCTCACAAACAGTCTGAATAACATTTGTGTAAATCAGTTCAGCAGCAGTTCCTGCTGTCCTCATTATTTTCAGAGAAATCAGGGCAAAGCATACTGATGAATAAAAATAGACAGTGTTCCCTGTTTCCCTGGCCCTGCAATCACCTCCATCAGGGATGTAGAGTGCAGAACGCACCTTCCTTCTTCATCTGCCTGCTTCGTCCTGGGACCAAAAAAAGAAAACTATGCCTTAGATACACACTCCTCTCCGACCGGAGCCACTGCTTTTCATCCAAAGAGGTACTCTTTGCAGCACTTGATTACTATGTCTCCTGGTTCTGGCTAAAGTTTTGAAACATGGAAAGTTTGACAAGGCATATATTGACTTTTACAAAGCCTAGAGCATAATGAAAATGCTTGCCAGCTGAGCACCACTGAGTTTTCCTGGCAGTTCTGCAAGTCAGTGGGGACCATTAATGGTCTGTATGCTGAGTCACCTATGATCTATCCCTGCTTGTTTTTGATTGGGCAGCACCTAATATCTGACTTCTAAATAGAACTCTTTGACTTACTAAAAATTTGTCAGCAGTAATATCAGCAATTTAATAAGGAGGGATTCAGAGGAAAATCAATCAATATTAAGAGATAAAAGCTTTGTTTGTTCTTTTTAAAGGTAGAATAGTAGATAAAGCTCCATCTCAAAGGGAATTATCTTCTGTCCCGTAGCTAAAAATAATTCCTGAGAAGGGTGTAGAAAGATGTTCAGCTGTCTGAACTGACTAACTCCTTATTCACTCTGCTTTAAATATGCTGAGAGGAAAGAGGTTCTCTTAGCGTTCTCATGCTTCAGAACCTGGTGCCCACATAGAAAGGGACAGTAAGTGCTGCCCTCTACCCTGCTACATATGGGAATACTATGACCAAAGGGAAGATTTAAAAAGATGGTTCTATCACTGATAGAATTTCTCATTGGGACCAAGCCTGTTGCTTAGGGAAAGGAGAAAAACATTTTAAATTTGTCCTGTATAACAACTCTGGCAATAATTTACATTTTGGTAAATCAAAGAACTAGCATTATAGCTTTTCTCTGGCCCAAATTCTGATGATTTCTCAGCTTAGGGCTTGAATCAATCTGCAGCTGACCAACTGTAATCTTGGCCAGCACAGCTTCAAGGTCACAGTTACCATATCTAGACCGTGGACATTTTATTGTTCTCACTATCGATGAAAACCGCCTTTCAGTCTTTGCCTAGCTCAATATTCTTTCAGCACCCTGACCCCTCACAATTTATAAACAGAATCAGCAATACCACCTGAAAAATGAATTTACAAGGAAGCTACACCCACTGGTTACAAACCTACAAAGTTATAAGTAGTCACTTCAAGTTAGATATCAAGGAAATTTCCTTTAGAAAACCCAGCTGCCAGAGCTGGGTCCTTCTGCTTACCTGCTTTATGTACTTGTTTACTGCCTAAGGAAAAGTCCCAGGCAGCCAGGTGCAAGAAAACAAAGCTCCTTGGAAGGTGGAAGGGGCGCCCGGTGTCCTCTGAGCTGCGATCTCAATTCCGATGCTTTTCATGTGGCTGAAATAGCTGGAGTGCTCTGTGCCTCTCCCGGTATTGAGAGCTGCTCCTGGCTCGGGGCTGGAGGGGAACTTAAACCGTTAAGGCTAAGTGTTAAAGAGAATTCCTGTCATAGCTCACAGTTGTTCTTCCTAAATATAGAGTTTGATACAAGCCATACGCTGGCTGCCTCTGAAAGGCTTGACCGTGCGGAAAGCAGGGCTCAAATGTCAGCCGGGAGGTGGTTATGGTATCTTACTTGCCCTCCTAATCTTCCAGAAGATGCTGGCTGCATTTTTCTTACATATTCTGAGGGGGTATAGCAAAGTTTGAAAAGTAGGAAAAGTCTATCTTTAGCTTTATTACCTGGATGCCGGAAGATGAGCTTTCAATAAAAATGAGGGGGTGTCATGATGGTACCATGCCTCTCAGCAGGGGTACTGACATTAAACAAGGTTTGAATCCTAGCTTGGTCACTTGGGAGCTGTTAAAGTTATTTAACAATCAGTACTCAACAAATAGTCATCAAATAATGATAATTATCCTATTAAGTTGAACTATATGACATTGCACTTTTGGTAGGTTAAAAATGATCCAAGATCAACAGGCTGGTGAGGTTCCAGAGCCAGAGCCTGGCCCACTCTGCTCTACTGCCTCTACTGGTGACAAAGATTTTGACCCTAGACCACACGAGACAATAGAGGAAGAAATGTCTATTTTAAATATGGCAAGGGCCAGAAGCAGGTACAAGGTAAAACATTTTTTAAACAGAAAACATCCAAATTCTAAGATACATGCTCACTATTTTTAACACTACTTTTAATTTTTTTAACTTCTCCAGTCTCTGAAATTACCTTTACATAGAACTTTACTTCAGCAGAAGTATTAAACGGAATGGAGAGACTTAAAATCCATCCACTGTGGAAGTGAGCTCCATGTCTGAGTTCTTAACAGCATGGTCAAGCCACTGAACTGTATTACCAGCAACTATCTCTTGCCAGTCTTCTTGTTACATGAGTAAAAGAAGTTCCAATTTGTAGAAGCCCTACATGTCAGGCTTCTGTTCCCTATAGCTGAATGCATTACAGATGGAAGTAGTTGACTTTATTCAGAACTTTAAAAGGAAAAACAAGTTTCTGGGAGTTTAGGGGGTCAGCAGATAATTGTGGTTCATTTTAGATTGGGGTTCACCATTAAGTTCTGTTTATGTGCTGTTCAAAAAAAATGTGTCTTTAAAAATCAGTTTAGACATCATGCTTTGAGATCACATGTTACCAAAAGTGAGTTATTTATACACTGGAGAAGAGAATACAGTGAACACATTAATATTTCTCCAGGTGTTAGGCTACTCCTATGTGTTCAGAGCTCTTCCCTAGACAAAAGATGGCATCACTACATGGACCAACAATGAGCCATTTTTGACCACTTGTTCTGAAGTTAGCCCATACATTTTGCCATAGCCCTTTTGCCCCAGTGGCCCCTCAGTAGCTACTGATGGGGTATATGTTGAGGAAACTGCTCCTGGAAGAAATGTCTTGTATACAGGGCTGGCTCAATATGAGTGTGGCTGCCTCTTTGGGAAAAACTAAGGTGAGATGCATAACCAGGGCTCTATTGGTCACAAGTGACAGTAACCTGAAGGGAACTAGCTTAAGCCAGGAAGGGTGTGGCAGACAGTTAATGCCTTTCTCAGCATCAGTTCTGCCCACCTGAGTTATGTAGCTGTAGGCAGTTTCCAGTGTACTGTCAGCTTCACACGTCTCTCTTTTTCTCTTCACTGGGGCTCTCCACATCATCCAGAAGCAGGAGACATAACCCATAAGTGCCAGGAAACAACACCCCTAGGGAGAAGCCTCAACCAATGGAAATGGAAATTGAGTGATGGATGTCCCCACCTCCTCATCCTGTGGTTGGATGATTGTTACGTGTGATCTACAGTTTCCCAGAGGTCCTCATCAGCACTGAGCCCCAGTTGCCCACCATGAGGATTTGCTCATTAATATACCCTTATTGGCTTTCTCTTTTCCCTTTCTCACTTCCCCTACTCCCTAGCTTGCATTCTCTGGGATCATCCCCAAAGTAGATCACCAGCAACCAAGTCTTTGTCTCAGCATCTGGAGTGGAGGCAACTCAAACTAAGACAAAGGAGTTCATTAGGAAGTTTTCCTGTAGCAAGGGGAAGGGCAGGGGTGCAGGTGAACCTCATCAATAACCAGAACCAAGAACTCTGACCTCATTAGGGAGCAATGAATCTGTTTCTGCAACTCCAATTTTAAAGAACTCAAGGCTCTCTTTGCCCCAGCGTGAGTCAATACCCCACACCAGGTTAGTGTCAAGGTTATCTAACAGAGAAGATCATTGGGGTACATACTTGTGCATTAGGTCCTTCCCAGAAAGGGGAATAGTTGTGAGCTGAGCATCCCTCCTAATTGGGTCTCCAAGAGGCACCAAGAAGCCAATTGCTTTTCCTTGACTTCTTGCAATAGCCTGAAATTTCTACTCCTATTCTCAGGTTATTGGTTTAAGACTCCATACATATGTAAAAAACATACATGCTGGCTGGGTGCAGTGGTTCACGCCTGTAATCCCAGCACTTTGGGGGGCCAAGGCAGGCAGATCACTCGAGGTCAGGAGTTCGAGACCAGCCAGGCTAACATGGTAAAACCCCATCTCTACTAAAAAAAAAAAAAAAATACAAAAATTAGCCAAGTATGGTGGCATGCACCTGTAATCCCAGCTAGTTGGGAGGCTGAGGCAGGAGAATCACTTTAACCTGGGAGGTAGAGGTTGTAGTGAGCTGAGATCGCACCACCACTGCACTCCAGCCTTGGCAACACAGTGAGACTACATCTCAACCCACACACACGCACGCACGCACGCACGCATACGCGCATGTGCACACACGTTGTTTGGCAAGGGTAACAGAAGAAGTCTCTGACACACAACAACACATACCAGGTTGGTGAGTGACACTTAACTGGGCCTGAAGGGATGGGGCACAAGACGAGTCCATTTCTTTTTGAGAGAATTTAGATAGGAGAAGTTGGAAAAACATAGCCTTAAAATATGGAAAATGGAAAGCTGTAAGGTACTGGACATTGAGGGGGTAGCTTGAGTCCTTTGGGCCTTTGGGCGTATTTCAGTGGAGATCACAAAGAGGGGTATGGTTGGGGGGGTTGTTGACAAAATCAAAATTCACTTAAGTCATTCCTACCTGCATGCCTTCACCCCTCCTCCTCTATGGTCAAAGAGCAGTAGGATATCTAACAACGTCTTACATCCATACAACCCTTGCTCAGTTGCAAAGCGCTTTCATTTTTATTATTCTATTTAGTCCTCCCAACAGCCCTGTAGGTTCAGTGGCATTCTTCCAATTGTATAGATCAGTAAGCCAAGGCTCAAATTGTTATTGCAGAGCTAGTTATCCCCAGCTTTTGACTCTCAAAGTTAGTGCTCTTTCCTATTATACCACAGTGCCCTCAAGGAACCACACTAACCTGTATGCCCCACATAAGCACATACTGCATCTGCTTACAAGTAGCAGAAAACCTAATTAGCAGTGACTCAATCAACAGTCATTTAATCATCTCACAAATCTAGGAACTTAAAGGAAGATAGTTATGAGCTGGTTCAGAAATTCTATGAAGTCAAAAACTCTTAGGCTCTTCCCAGATCCTCTTTGGGAAGGAGAATTTACTCTGCCACTCTCAACAAGTCAATTTTTCATCCTCATGCTTCTTACCTTATGTTCCCAAGATGGCTGCCACAGCTCCAAGTATCAGGACATTTTACGAGCATCCAAACAAGAAGAAATAACAGTGACAGTGGGAAAAGGGGCTTTTCTTCTCAAGAAGGAAACTTTCCCAGAAGCCCCAAGCTGACTTCCCCTTACATCTCTTTGGCTGGAACTGGGTCTCACGGCTGCAAAGGAGGCTAAGAAAAGAAATAAATGTCAGCAGTTGAATGGAATAGAAATGATTAGCTAAGATCAAATGTCCCATATACAATTGGGATGCTTTTAATGAAGAAAAAGGAAACAGCAGTGACACAAATAAAACGTGCACACACATACAGAACTTTAATGGAAAATGTGCTTTCACACATATGAAGCAGGTGCTGTTTGTTTATCTCCATTTTATAAATGACAAAACATGGTGGAAAAGGTCAAGTCCCATGCCTCAGAAGTGGCTGAGTCAAAACTCCAATCTAGGTCTGCAGGCTCCAAATTTCATGTGTTTCCCCTATTCCTCCATGTGCAAATCAACAGGAGGAGCCAGGCTGCTCATACCGTTGTCCCATCTGTGAATGCCCTCATGGCATGTGCCCTAAATTACAGGCTTATTTTGGGTTCCTCTTTGCTTGGTTCTACTCAATCCTAGGCCTGCCCACAATTTGGGCAAAGAGTAAAATAAACCTTATTATGGAATTTTGTATGTGAATTAATAGATAACTCTTTGTACCATTATGTATAAACATGGAAACACCAAAAAAAATTATAGGCTGACAAAGAGAAGAAAAAATAACAAATAAAGAATGATTAGCTAGAAAGAAAGAATTCTGAAAAAGAAACTAGCTATACCTAATGAAAAACTTTTCCCATAATATTTACTTCTACATTCAATTTTAATTTTTAACAGCATGACTATGATCAAATCAATGTCTGCTTTTAATCTAGGAGAGCAAGTGACAAAGTTTGTCCCCTGGAATGGATGCTGTGATGACATCTCTCCTTCCCCAGCAGATGCCAGCACCTTTTAAAAGTGCAAGGTAGGAAAAAAAATTGTTGTCGTTATCTTTAAAGAAACTGATACTCTTATGCATTGACAATGGAAGTGTATACTCATACAACTACTTCATAGGATAATTTCTCAATATTTTATGAGGCTAAAACTGTGCATATCTTTTGATCAGTTTCATGATTTGGCCAATATTTGTCATTTTTTGGCAAGTGTGTATAAAAAGAAAGATAACAGAATGTTCATTTCAGTATTGCTTATAAGAGTGAAAAAATCTGAAAACAATCTAAATGCCTATCAACAGAGAATAAATAAATAATGATTTGTTCATTTGATTGACCACAAATAATCAAAAGAGTGAACCAGAGCAACATGCATCAAAAAAGATTCAATTATACATTTCAAAATCAAACTGAATTTAAAACATACACACACTGAATTTGAAAAGAGTTAACAATGTAAAAACTTGCAAGAAACTAATCATAATATTTTTAAAGTGATCATCTCTAGGAAAGAAGAGGGAGCAAAAGGATTTCATAAATAGCTTTAATAGTTTCTATTATACGTAATATCCTTAAAATAATTTCAACTAAGATAAAATATTAGACTTTGAAGGACTAGGTTGTGAGTATAGGGGTGGCATTTTGTTATTTTGTTTGTAATTTTCTGTATATTTGAAGTATTTCATCACAAGAATGGAATTAAGGATTTTGTTGTGTCAAAAAAAAAAAAAGACTGATGTGCAAGTGTGGCCCACCCTGCCCACCTCACCCCCACGTGGCCCATAGCTTTGGTTGGCCAATCTAGATCTCCAGCTTTGGCAGAAAGTAATTCAAAATTTTCTATAACATCTATCAGAGCCAAAATTTCATAAGACATAATCAGCTGATAACAATAAAAATAAAACACTTTGCAATATTGGTAAGACCCAACTAATGCGATAGATGGTCTCTCACTAAGGAATTGGTTGCAGTTTTCTATATTATACCATCAGGTAATGGCATTACTCACCCTCCCAAGGCCAGTAGCTTTTAGAAACTAGAAAGTTAGAGAGAGTATGGATTTCAGTAAATTTACTATCAGAGAAAATATGGGTGATTAAAATATGATCATTAGAATGATAACGACCAAGGATATTTTTATCCTTTGTTTTTTAGCAATATTGTTGCTTCCTGTTTTTCTCTTACCCCTGCCCAAATCCCCATATCTCTATGCAATATTATTACCTTGAATCAATTGTAACTGCAATGGGCTCTTTGTATTAGGCAAGATATACATTTGGTATTGTAGATTATAAATCAATTATCTTTTTTTTTTTTTTTTTTGAGACAGAGTTGCACTCTTGTTACCCAGACTGGAGTGCAGTGACGCAATCTCAGCTCACTGCAACCTCCGCCCCTAGGGTTCAACGGATTCTCCTGCCTCAGCCTCCCCTCTCGAGTAGCTGGGATTACAGGCATGTGCCACCGTGCACGGCTAATTCTGTATTTTTAGTAGATACGGTGTTTCTCCATGTTGGTTGGAGTGACCTTGAACTTCCAACCTCAGGCGATCCGCCTGCCTCAGCCTCCCAAAGTGCTGGGATTATAGGCATGAGCCACTGCACCCAGCTGGATTATTATTGTCACTAAAGGAATATTTCCCAATCATTTTACAACTAGATGATTTATTTTTATTTGTTCTGGCATTCTTAACTATGGTTGGAGCTAAATAATATGACTCAAATGTCTCCTGTGCATGACAATTTTGTGGCGCCTGTAAGAGTCACTTCAAAGGGGTGTCTCCAAGTGGGTGATTCACTATCCCTCCATGAGCCAAATGGCAGGACTTCCACTCTCCTTCCTTATATCTCTCTAGGAATCTCCAAAGAGAGATGTGTCTCATAGACCATCCACAGTACTGTTCTGCTATTCCACGTCCCCTTAATCCCCAGTGCCTCAGAAGCTACCTCTCTCATTATCACTGCATAGAATGATTTGTTATGGCCTTTGGGGCCCAGCTTCTTATTTATTCTTTGGCATGTGAGGAGATACCTTTTACATCTTGAGACTCACTGCTTCTTTAAAAAAATAAAATATGCATACTAAAAAAAATCACCCTAGAAAGTATAAAGTATATAGCTCAGTGGTTTTCAGTACATTCACAAAGGTGTGCACTATCTAACCTTCTAGAACGTTTTCAATCATCTCCCAAAGAATCCCCATATCCATTAGTAGTACTTCCCATTTCCTCCTTCCTCTGGCAACAACTCATCTGCATTCTCTTTATGGAATTGCCTATTCTGGACGTTTCATATAAATGGAATCCTACAATATGTGGCCTTTTGTGCTTGGCTTCTTTTATTTGGCATAATGTTTTCAAGGTTCATCCATGTGGTAGCATGTATCAGGACTTCATTCCCTTTCATGGCTGAATAATATTCCATTTTGTGGTATGCTACATTCTGTTTATCCATTCATCAGTTGAGAGATATGTGGGTTGTATCTACTTTTTGGCAAAGAAGAATAATGCTGCTATGAACATTCGTGTACAAGTTTTTGTGTGAACATGTTTTCAGTTCTCTTAGGTAAATTCCTGGGAGTAGAATGGCTGGGTAATATGGTAACTCTAATCTTTTCAGAAACTACCAGAACCTTTTCCAAAGCAGCTGCATCATTTTACATTCCTACTGGCAGTCTTTGAGGGTTCCATACTTCTCTATATCCTCATCAACACTTGTTATTGTCTGTCTTTTTTGTTATAGCCAACCAGTAGGCATAAAGTGGTATCTCCTTGTGGTTCTCACATACATTTCTCTGATAACTAATGATATCAAGCATATTTTCATGTGCTTATTGTTCAGTGGTATATCTTCTTTGGAGAACTGTCTATTCAGATCATTTTCCCATTTTTATATTTGGCTTTTTGTCATTTTTATTATTGGGTTGTAAGCATTCTTCATGTAGTCTGGATACAAGTCCCTATCAGATATATGCCTTGCAAATATTTTCTCCCATTCTGATCTTTTAGTCTGTTCTCATGCTGCTAATAAAGACACACTCAAGACTGGGTAATTTATAAAGGAAAGAGGTTTAATTGACTCACAGTTCCTTGTGGCTAGGGAGGCCTCACAATCATGGCAGAAGGCAAATGAGGAGCAAAGTCACATCTTACTTGGCAGCAGACAAGAGAGTGTGTGCAGGGGAACTCCCCTTTATAAAACCATCAGATCTCGTGAAACTTATTCACTATCATGAGAACAGCACAGGAAAGACCTGCCTCCATGAGTCAATTACCTCCCGCCAGGTCCCTCTCACGACATTTTGGAATTATGCCAGCTACAATTCAAGATGAGATTTGGGTGAGAACACAGCCAAACCATATCACCTGGGTTGTCTTTCACTTCCTTGATGGTGTCCTTTGAAGTGCAAAAGCTTTTTTAGGTTTAAATAATAACTAAATAAACTTATTTTTTCTTGGGTTGCTTGTGCTTTTGGTGTCACAGCTAAGAAACCATTGCCTAATCCAAGGTCACAATGAATTGCACCAATGTGTTTTCTAAGAGTTGTATAGTGTTAGCTCCTACATTTAGATCTTTGATCCACTTTGAGTTCATTTTTCTGTATGGTCTGAGGTAAAGGCCTAGCTTTGTTCTTCTACCTGTGAATATCCAGTTGTCCCACCACCATTTGTGGAATCAGGAAATGTGAGTCCTCCAATTTTTTTTTTCCAAGCTTGTTTTGGCTGTTCTAGGTCCCTTGCATTTCCATATGAATTTTAGGATCAGCTGATTTCTTTCAGCAAAAAAGAAAAAGAAAAAAAGGAAAACCAAGCTGGAATTTTTAATAGGGTTTACACTAAATCTGCAGATAGATTAGGGTCATATTGCCACGCATAAAAGTGGGATATCTTTCCATTTATTTAGGTCTTCTTTAATTTATTTTGATAATGTGTTATAGTTTTTTATACAAGTATACTTCATTTGTTAAATTTATTCCTAAGTATTTTATTCTTTTTGATGCTATTATAAATGAAATTACTTCCTTAATTCCACTTTTGTATTGTCCATTGTTAGTACATAAAAATACAACTGATTTTTTTGTATATTGATCTTATATCCTGTAACCTTGCTGAACTCATTTATCAATTCTAATAGTTCTCTCTCACTCTCTCTGTGTGTGTGTGTGTGTGTGTGTGTGTGTGTCTGTGTGTGTGTGTCTGTGTGTGTGTGTGTGCAGGTGTGTGTGTTTGTATGCCATCCTTAGGGTTTTCTTTATGTAAGAGCATATCTTCTGTCTATAAAGATATCTTACTTTCTTCTTTCCAATCTGGACGAATCTTTCTCTCTCTCTCTCTTTCTTTCCTACTTTCTTTCTTTCTTCTTTCTTTCTTTCTTTCTCTCTCTTTCTCTCTCTCTCTCTCTCTCTCTCTCTCTTTCCTTCCTTCCTTCCTTCCTTCCTTCCTTCCTTCTTCCTAGATTTTGTCAGATTCCCATTTTCAAGCATTTCTCAGAATCCCCAAGAATTAAGCTCATCTCTTCCACACACTGGCCACATGCCTCCTTGCTCATGCCCTGGCTTCATACCATTGCTCCTACTGGCTTGAAGCCTGCTTCTCCCAAACTACCATTCTTCCTTGTCCAAAATGTAAATCCAGGTCCATCCCTTCATTACTAAGAGCACAACCCAGACAAGATTCTAATATTCAGTAAAACTTCATTAAATATTTGGACTAACCAAATAATGGCAAAGTCCAAAACAAACAAAAAATCAAAACTGGATTATTATCCGTGTTTACATGAACCAAGCCACTTCTCCCCTTAGCCCCTGGTCCTATGCCATGATGCAGTAGCCATGTGTATGTCTCTCTCCTTGGAATTTAGATTACTTCCATGAGTACTCACAGAACAAAAACATACTTTTTCTAAACAGAAGCAATGTACAGAGTTATAATTCTAGTTACAGAGGAAAAACTCTTTACGTTATTGTACAGAATGGTTTAGCATCTCCTTAACTCCAAACATTTCATTTTAAAAGGGAACTTTTT